ATATGGACAATATTTCTGCAACTGCTTGGCCGATTTGGACAATATTGGAGTGGTTTTGGGGGTTACTGAGGATGCTGAATCCATTGGTGGTAACTGTTGATGTGTTCTTTACTGTGGGTTAAGTTTGTTTATTTTTTGTACTTGATTTACTTTTTTGATCAATTTACTTGCATTGAGACGATAAACCATATGTAAAAAGTTGTGTCCATGTGACCGTTATTTGAAATATCTTGATATAATAAGAAGACTGAACATTCACATGACATTGAGCTCTCTACATTTTAAAAGTCGACTTTATTACTTGTATAAATTGCTTAAAAATTCAAAACTGGCCCCCAAATGCAGCCACTTCTGGTTTAAACGTCAATTTTGTATTTTGACATAACATAAAACTTTGGGGTACTCAGCAATTCTGGGTTCATGTTTCTGGCACGTAGACTGTTTTAGAATTGATTAACTCAACTTCATACAAGGTCAAAACTGTCGTATATATTAGATGGTTACAGCTGCTCAAATGTGAGAATTTGCTGCTTTTCTATGTTTAACATTACTGAAGTTGTTCAGGGTTTCACACTGTTGGTTGGACAAGACCAGCATTTCAAACTGAATTTGAGTAATTTTGTAAATGTTTTGCATTTTATAGCCTAATACTAACTTACTACCAATGTACTTTCTGTACTCAATACAGAAATGATTGTTTTCTGAGTTATGACTAATTTAGTTACATGAACTAATTAAATAATCAATTTTGACTCTTTTGACTTTTTAAAGAGTCACTTGTGTAGTAAGGTGGTCAATGCATTAACTGCTTTAAAGACTAAACAATGACGCCACTGATTATTGCACAGTAAACTTTGTGTTTTCATCAGAACAAAGGTTGATATTTTCTCTGATGATGAAACTATCAAACACACCTCCTCACCTCTGCTGTGTCATACATTAAACTACGGTTAGACAAGCAGTAGTTTGTCCAAGTGTATCAAGTTCAATACTAAGACTGTGCAAAAGACATATACGTATTCAGTTGAGATCATTTTGAATGCTTGAGAAAAAACAACAAACATGACCAGAGCGCATCTGAATCCACAGCATCTGTAACCTCAGCAGGAAGTTGCATAGCAGAAACAGCATATAGTGAACTATAAGAAGGGGAGTTTCCCACAAACCCACAATGAAGGAAATACATGAAAGAGGGGGTGGAACATAGGCAATACAGATCAAAGGAAATGCAGCAGAAGGGAAACACAGTTTTACATCTCTATATGTGTTGTCGTGAGGGAGCTGTAAAGTCTAAATTATAGGAAACACACTCTTACGACCTACATTTGTGGTGCTATAGGTGATATACTTACAGCTTTGGTGATGACTGCCTTCATGGTGCCTGAGAGGGCGGCCGCCATGCCAAAGCGCCCGTTATTCAGGATGTTCATGGCCACCTTGAAACCGCCGCCTACCTCTCCCAGCACGCAGTCAGCTGGCACGCGAACATTATCGAAGTAGACCTCGGCTGTGTTGGAAGCCTTGATGCCCATTTTCTTCTCTGGAGGGCCGCTGTGATTAACAAGATGCGGTGGGAAAAAAAAGAAGAAAATTCCCCAAAACATTACAGCAGTGCAGAGAGTTTAATGTATTCCTTCTGCTAGCTCCCTCCCTCTCAGTAAATTATAAAAATGCATCAGAGACCAGCAAAGGACAGTGACATTAGGGGCCAGACTCCAACTCAGAGCAGAAGCTGGGGGAGGTGGGCTGCCCTCCTCTGGTTAGAAGGTGTTAACACTGTTATACAAATGTTGTGACACATAGTCACCTCAAATGGTCGAAATTTTAACACCAGCATTGATGTGTTCCATCACAGTATGATTCAGTTTACAGCTCAAAACACATGTTTTAGGCTGGAGTACCTCTCTAATGATAACCTGTCAGTTATGTAAAAGAAAAAAAAGGGGCGTGCTCACTGTGTCACTCCTCCAAAGCTCCTCTCCACGATGAAGGCTGAGATCTTGTCCTTCATCTCTCCAGTCTTGGGATCCTTCATGGGGGTCTTGGCAAAGACTGTGAAGATCTCAGCCAGACCTCCATTGCTGACAAGAGAAAATAGGGCATCAGATTAGAAAAAGACAAAAGCAAGTGGACAAACTTTTACAATGCTGCCCTCTTGGGGTGACAGTAAAAACTGATCACTACTACTGCGTCCTCACCTGATCCAGATTTTGCCTCCATTGAGGGTGAAGTACTGTCCGCAGGGGGACTGGACAGCTGTGGTCTTGATGGAAGCGGCATCAGAGCCACTGGCTGGTTCAGTTAGGCAGAAGGCAGCTATATGCTCGCCTGGAGGGACGAACACACACGACAGAAATGATTTACCAGTTCTACACAATGTTCCTTCATTACATTATGTCACATCTCAGCACAATGAAACTGCGCTGTGGTATTCTCCCTTGACTGCAGAGCTACAGGAGTACATTAAAGGTGCTGCTCTTCTTACCTGTGGCAAGCTTAGGCAGGTACTTCTCCTTCTGGGCTGGATTCCCAAAAAGCAGAATTCCCTTGAAGCCAATAGACTGGTGGGCTCCCAGAGTGATGCCAACACCCAGGTCGTGAGCGCCAACGATCTCGACCAGCCGGGCGTACTGTAAGATGGATAGATGCCATCACATTAGACTCATTGCATTCACTCGTTTACATAATTAACAACTACACGCTATTTACTAATGTGTATGTGTTATAATGGAGTAAACATTCACCTGTGTGTTTGAGAGGCCGAGGCCGCCCAGGTCAGCTGGCACCTGCAGGCCAAAGGCACCCTGCTCCTTCAGGCCCTCCATGGTGTGATCTTCGACCTTCTCCAGAGCATCGTTCTTGGCAGGGTCATTCACCTCCTGCAGACCGGGAGCAGAAACATGGAGGGTTAGTATAAAGGCTGGAGAAGTAGTTGTGAGCATAAGATCAGACCAACTTATCCACGAGCTCAAACAGGTTTTAAATTACCTCGAAAAACTTGCTGACAGGCCCCACAAGCTCTCGAAGAAACTGCTCCTGCTCTTCATTCATGACTAGGGCACAGACAAAAGTGATTACACTATGAATTTTTTTCAGTTCTACAGAGACTTTTTAATAAAATGTTGGACAATTTGTCAAACAGATATTGACATAAAATCCTCTTGATTTACCTGAGGGGTAAGGAAACACTTGGGCAGTCTGGATCTGTCCCTTGAAAATGTTGACAGCAAATGATTTGGATTCCTGTGGAAAATTAAATCAAACATAGTAAAGCTTGTGCTAACACAGAGTATCCAAATGTTTATTTAAAGAGAGGTTGTATTATGTAAAAAAGAAACAAAATGTATGTTTACATTAACTGTTGTGTATCCTTAAGGGCTAACAAATGTGTTGAATGCATTTTCTTCCTCAGAAAACGTTTCTTTTGCTGATTTTTAAACATTTCGCACTATTTACATGCATGTTTAATAGCTTGCAGTCCTTTCCTTCTCTGCCCTTGTTAGTGCTTTGCTGCCTTTTTGGCACACTACTGCCACCTGGGATAGTTTAAAGCCATTTGCAGGACTGTGATCATCCAGTAGGGGGGACCCAATAAAACTGCTCCATAGTGCTACAAGATGTCAAAGACTCCCCACGGTAGCTTTAATTTAAATACTTTTAAAAAGCTGTTTCAAAAACTCAGGAGAATAATAACATTATCTCAAATATAATAATAACATAATAGTTAGAGAATTAACATACAACAGCAACTGTCTTCTTTTCCACTTTAGCGGCAGTGTCACTGCTGACAGCTGCAGGCTTCTCAAGCACCGCCTAAAGAGAAAGAGCAAAGCAGACATTAAAGACAACAGAGAATGAGCTGGCCAAAGGTTCATCAATTCTGTAAAAAATAAACAATAAAAAAAAACAAGGGGATCTTAAACTGTCTCTGTAAGAAACTGAAGATTAAATCATATTTGGTGCAGAATCATATGCTGCTCAAACAAACCACACAGCTGGGACAGAGGCAGCACTCTGTTGTGAATACATTCAGTGGCCAGAATCCAGTGTTATGAGCCAAAGAAAGCATGAGTGAACGTGTTTCCAATTCCAGCCTGAGCACCAGATTGGTAGGATGCCCAAAGGACTTATTTCAAGCTCCAAATGGGTGAGAGGTCGTTCCAAGGGCATCGGTCAGCTGAGTCCACAAACAGAAGTGCTGTGTATAGAGTTTTTTTTTTTTTAAATGGTGTAGTCCAATGTTTCCAATATCTTCTAGTTAAAATCAGCCAAACAACAATCTTTGACACCAATGTGCTTTATTATTCCCTCACCATCAGCTGGGGAAACAAAGGTTAATTTCACTGTACGTTGCTAGATTGTACTTCGCTTAATTACCCAAATAATAAACTGGTACCTCAGAGTGAACCTGTTACATAACTGTGTTTGTAAAAGTGAGTCAAATATAATATACCTGAGTGAATGTATTCCTTACTGAATGAAAAAGTGTGAAAAATAACCACTTAAGTACGTAGTTTAAAATCATATCAAGGCAACAAATCGGTCTCTGAGCTCTACCTGTTACAGCTCTTTATAAAAATGAAGCCTGTTGAAAAGCAATTAATTACTTTTAATTGATTAATTCAGATTTATTTTATTCATATCAAGATCAAGGCATTTTTTACTGACAGTCTAAATGTATTTAAATACCTAAATGTATTAAAATGTACTTAAATTAAATGTTTAAATCTACATTCTTGTTCGTTTACACACAGCAAAACTAGATTTCCGTGTTTGTCGTTAATAAAAGAGAGAATGACGAGGGGAAAGAAACTAAAAACATTTATTTCTAGTCCTATTTTTCAACCTGCTGAGCTTTTCACAATCATTATTTTATGCTCAAGACATTTAAAATCTAGAAAAGTACGAGTAAATGTGAGCAGCTGGAAATTCTGACATTTAAAAAGAGCGTTTCCAATCACAGAGTTGTCATATTACTATTACGTGTACAGCCACAGAGCGTCTGCCAGCACACCTAAATGAGTTATAACTGTGTTCATACTAGGAAAAACACAGAAAAAAGCTGTCATACCATCTCATTACTATATTATAAATGTGACCAGGGAAAGACAAATGCTCCACTGCCTCCTCTCTCTGTGTGTCACCCACATTCATGGAGTCACCTTTAGGACTGAGTCATGTGACCAGTGAACCTTCCCCTACTTCCAGGGGGAGGGTGGGGGAGGGTGGGGTGTCAATGTTATGTCAGCCAGGCGCTGCATTATGTCAAACAGGGGACAATAAACAGTCCAAATCACAGTAAAACCTCATCATATGGCAAACAAACCTGCGATTTAAAGCAGAATATCTCTTTTTATATGTAATATCATCGTACCTGTGCAGCTTGTGTGGCGTAGAGACGAGTGTTGTGCACAGCAACCACAGCCCCGACATGACGCTGAGCCCTGTAACCCAGAGAGGAGATGACAGGAGATTTTAATCATCTGGGTCAAGCAGCCACGAATACGCCTTTATAATATAATATATAAAAAAAACACACATTACATACCCAGATATCACAGGAGGACCCCTGAGAATGGAGCCGCACAGTGCGGAGGACTGGCTCACTTTACGAAGCAGCATGACTGTTTAATTTTCTTATAAAAGACGCAAAAAGAACACAACACACCGTTATTAACACGTTACTTACACACAGACAGACAATCAAACGCAGACAGACAGGAGGAAGGAGAGCTAACAGCTAGCCACGTAGCGTCAGCCGACTACAGATACGTAAGGACGTTTGTTTTGACAGATTTGTTTCCTTCCGCACACAATAAAGTTAAATATTTGTATTCCTTCTATCAAAAGCATTAACTGACTCTAGTATATAAATACTGTATTGGGTTTATGTTGTGACAAGTTCCCTCTGTCCGTGCAGTTAAGGCGACTGGTCCTCTGAATGACCCAACAAACAATGTTGAACCTGAATCTTTTTCCTCGCTGCCCGCTTTGCCGGTCCTTGTGGTGCGCCGCGGTCATCGTGGGATGTTGCTAGGTTCTGTCCGAAAAAGCGGTCAGTCGTTTAAGCCAGCAGAAACGTATGAAAAAAACAATAGAAAGGTTCCAGGGGTTGTATAATATAATGAACTGAACATCTATTATTAGGGCCCGGACACTGAAGGCGTTGTGCGAAGGCCCCTATTGGTCAATGAAGGATTTCTTCTTTTTTCTTTTTTCTCAAGAAACAAACGATATTTTGGATGCTCAACATGCCCCCCTCAAAAACTAATGAGAAACTCAGCGCACATGTCAGGTCGTTGGGCGAAAAATGTTTATTATTCATGTGGTCGGCTTCTCGTGTTTGGCCCACTGTTAGGGGTGGGCGCTGACT